GCCACCTTCACCGTCAGCAATAAAACGCTGCGCTGATGGCGACGTTTTACGCTTGTTATTCACCTTACTGGTTTCTCACAAATCAGTGAATTGAATTACTGCATTTTCTCAGTTGTTATGTTTTTGTGGGAGTTTAGGCTTTAATTCGTAAAAATGCTGCCGTTTGCGTTCACTCTTCAAGCTTTAAATAGCGCGTGCTGTGTCAGCACATAGCGCGCAAAAGCGCTTTAGGCTAAGTGAGCGGAAAGCGCTCGTAAACATCCGTGTCAGCACACGGCTTTGCACATGAAAGGCTTGAGGCTAAACATTCTCGCACTGCGAGACTCGCAGTGTTGGCACTGCGGTGTAAGGCGCAATACAACATTGCAATAGAACGTGCAACTAAATACGTGCGTAATATTATTGCCTGGATATCTTGGCTATCCTGGTTATCCTATCCTGGGTATCCTGGCGTATGCGTACTTCACATTTTCGTAGGGTTTTTAGTGTGTTTTGGGAAGTGGTTTTTTTATCACCAAAATAACCTCAGGGAAATGTCGGTATTGAGCAGAAAATAACTTTGAGTTGTTGTTTCCACAAATTGTCGAATAAACATTTGGTTGGTCAGCAGTGTAGCGATCAGGGAAACCACCGGTAGATCCGGTAGGTTAAGTAGTTAAAATTTCAGCCTTTGGTTTCATTCACAAAATCCCGACGTTTCAACTTTCAGTGTAAATAACGAATAAAAATATTAACAAACGATAAATAAATGATCAAATCAGTAAAACCGACCGTAATAAGAAAGTATGTAGTTAGTACAGTACGATACAAGGCTCATCCGCCTCGAGTAGCATGCTTGAGTGTAGTTTCAGATTTCTTGCGTGCTGCATTGCGTCTGCCTGTCCGTGCAACTGGTGATGGCTCGCACCAGTTGTCGCGAACTTTCAGTTTTTATCTAGTTGGGAGTTACTTGTCTTTGCCAGTTTTGGAATAGTTCGGGTACAACACCATTTGCTACTATTTAGTTCTGCGCTGCTGTCTGCGCAGAATTATAACTGATCCTGCTTGCGTTGTAGTTTTCTTGCTGTTTTCCGCACTCTGTTGTCGTTTCCAGCGTCATGAAGCAGAAACGTGCTAGACTGTCTGGCACCCTGTCATCAGCCTCTTCCCGAAATGCATCAATCTCCCGTGCCGTTGCGTTAGCAGCACCTGCAGCGCCTCCAGACTCTGGTGTTGATCCACGCGCACCTTCTCCAGAAATCGTAATGACTGGCGAGCCGGAAACCGCCGAGATCGCCCAGCCCGTGCCGTCTATATCGTCACGCATACGCTTGCTCGAGGACTCATCACACCCAGCGGACCGCAGAGCTGTCAACCGCCCAACGCATCCAAGTCCAGGTGCCTATAAGAAGCTCCCTGGGTCCCCGCCAGCCAAGAACCCAGTACCACGTTCCAGTCGATCTAGACTGCTAAAGCGTCAGCGGACCCCGTCCACATTCGCATCGCCTTCGTCGTCAGAAGATCGCCATGCGTGTCATGCAAAGAAAACACGTTCGAAGCAGAAGCCGCGCTCGTCGGCTAAGGCACGATTTGAGAAACGGATAAATGACCGAGGAGGTTTTCCATCGATGCCCATATTGCAACCGCGAGCTGGGCCGGCGCGATGCGTGTCGCAACCACGTGCTGGGAACGGATGGCTTCAGGAGACAGTCAGCGTGTTTCGATTGGCGAACGCAAGAGCGGGAACGCTATCTCCTGGGTGAGATGCCGCTGCGTCGGATGCGATGGGTGCGCTACGCAGATTACCGTAAGCAAATGGGGAACCTGGGGACACTGAGTGGTCTTCGACGGACCGCCGGCACGGTGTCCACCTCCACCCAGATGACTATGCGGCAGCCGAAGAGGCGCGATCGCGACACAGGCAGACGCGGTCCGACGCTACGTTGGTGGGGTCTGCATTGGTAGTCCCGCTCTCTCCGAAGGGTCCCGCTCTGCCGCCTAGTGATCCGGACTTTTTGGGAGTTGATGGAGGATCCAGTAAGAATTGAGGGCCCACACCGCCCGTGACGTACAGGTAGCCGTTGAAGACTTTAGCGGCAAAACTGCAGCGGGGATGCAGCATCGCCGGCAGCTCGCTCCACTGGTTCGTCGCCGCGTCGTACACTTCGCCGGCGGCCAGGATGCTGGGCGTCTGGTCCTCCGCCAGATATCCGCCCAGGATGATAAAGTACTGCTTGTCCCACGTCGAATGCCGCTTCTTTTCTGTGGAACGAGCATTTCGGTCATGCGTCTTTTGTAGATTAACTAGCCGAATTTTTTTGTATACAGCATTGCCAAAACTTACTAACCTAATGCAGTGAGGATTTGGGATGTGTGTACGGTGATCGAACGTGGCCGTGTTGATCCGCGGATCGCTCGCGCCCTTCACAGGTTCCTCGCATATATACTCCATCTCCACTTTCGTCGGATCATCCTTCAACGTCAAGACGTACATGCGCCAATGCGCACCGTGCTCGATGCGGAACCACACCCGGTTGTTGACCACCGGGCCCATTTCCTTGAAAGTGTTCCACGTCTGCAGTTCCGCCGGCAGTGCGACGTGGTGCAGTTTATTCTGGCGCGCGTCGTACAGACGCAGACTGGCTGTGTGCCGGTCGGCGTAGAAAAAACAGGCCACTTCGGTGAAGTAGCGTTCCCGTGGCGCAACGGTATCCCGGTCAACGTCTGGTGGGAAGAGGAGTGTCTGCAGCTCTAGCAAGACATCCAGCAGCGGCGGAGTGGCAGTGAGGAGGGCCCGCTCCAGCTCGTCAGCCAGTAAATCCCAGCGGAGCTCCGGTAGGACGATTTTGAAATTCTCCGCCGTCCATCGCGCCGGGTAGTCCACGCGGAACCACTTCATCACTTTCTGACCAAGCAAGACAGGACAATACTTCAATTTCTTACGTCTCTTTGGTTCTCAGTTTTTTTTTAAAATCTCAGGTTTTCTTTCTAGTTTGTCTTAAATTTCTTAGGTTTCTTGAAAATGTGATTTACATAGTGCTACGTTTTTGCGCGGCTGCGCTCACAAGTCAAGCCTCGATAGCTTCCTCACCTGATAGAGCTCCATTTCGGAAGAGACCGGAAGGAGATCCTGCCGCAAAACGACCAGCAGAGCGCCGAGGGTCAGCTGTGCGTCGGCCACGGTGTGATCATTCGGCAGCGCGTTCTGATCGGTATTTGGTGGGTGTGAGCTGCCCGTCGTGCACTCCGCCACCGGCATCGGTGAGGTGGCTCGCGATATCACGGTCTTGGACGGCATGGAGATTTGGCTGGCTGTGAGCGTAACAACCGAAGATAACCGAAAAAAACTAACAAAACATAAGAAGTCTAAAAATAACCTAAGAAACCTAAGAAAACCCAAGCAACCTAAGAAACCTAGAAACCTAAGAAACACAACAAAAACTACGAAAACTTGGAAAACTGAAGATGGCTAAGCCGAAATGAGCGGCGGCCGAAATGAGTGCTGGCCGAACTGAGCCTCGGCCGAAATGAACGTCGGCCGAAGTGATCGGACGCGGTTGCGTAATACTCCGTAGTCTCTACTAGCGCAGTGCTTACTTGTGACAACGTTGTGCACTGTGGTTGGCAGGGGATCTCGAGAAACGCCGCGGCCGCCTGTAGTTAGCTTGCCCGGTTGCTACTGCCGTTGCTTTGGACGCTAACATCCAGCTCCAGATGGGGATTAAGGGTGGCCAGCAGGACGAGATGCGCTGCCCAGGGATCGATGTGCCGCGGCAGGAGAACGCGGCACTCGTGGTCCTGACGGTGACATGGCAGCCCCAAGGCCTCCACCTTCGACCAGGGACCGTACACCACAAACTCCCCCGTCACCACGGCCACAAACTTCGGGGGCGCACGCTGCACCGGCTCCCCGCGGCCCCCAGTTACGCTGGCCTCAACCCCCGGATCGGGCTTGATGCGAACGCTCTTGGTTACGTTGCCAGTGACGTCGGCTTTTCGCTTCCCAACACTATCCACACTCAGGTCCATCGCAGTGCTTCAGCGGTTCCAGCTAGCGTAGCGCCCGCTGTATTAGGATAATAGCGTTAGCTAGTACGTCTTTGCGTCTCTTTAAACAGCAATTTCCTACTTTCTGGCACACTAAATCGACCCTGTAGTACCTATGTTTTATTAGCACAAGCCAGTCAAAACCGAGCATTTAGTGTAGTTAAAAGAAACCCTGTATTTATCAAAACAGATCGCTCTGGTTGAAATTCGAAATTTATTACGATCTATGTACGTGGAAGACCGGTTCTCCGGCATTGCATATGGTGCGGTTCGTATTATCAGTTTTGTTTTTTATGCAAATTTATTAATGTTTATGCTCTGGAATTCGTAAGGGAAGTTATTATTAGGAAACATATTCAGTTTTTAGTTTCGTTTTGTTGTGAATTTTCATCAGCAGAACGAATCTAATGAATAAGTGCTTTGTTATGAATGCTGGATTGTCTTGGTACTTAGTTTGCACTAGTACCGTGAAAAGTACTGATGGTATGTACACAGACAGTTTGAATACCGGCCAACCAGTACAAGAAAACGAAGTGCTTAAAACGACAAAAACTCGCGAAACGCAACGACGAATTCTGCATCGTGTACAAGCTTGTCGACAAATTGAGCATGTAAGGGAACAGGTAGAGCGATATTGGCGCGAACGTGGCACTTGAAAGATGGCCACTACATTTCGTTTATCTCAGTACCTGCATCATGCATGCGCTCCACAGTCCGATTGCCCCTTATTGCACCGATAGTTTTCTAGCCACCTCCCACAGGGCAATTACAATTGTTTTCATTAAAATATCTGGCTTGCAGTCTTGCACTAAGCCACCAGCTAGCCAAATGCATGTTACTTGCGTATTTAAACAGTGTGGAGTGGCGCGCCGTAGTATGGATTTAAGCGCACCCCGTAAATTTACAATGGTCTCTGTATTTACGAATGCTTAATTTGTCGACAAGCTTGTACAGGGCGCAGTGCCCAATGTTCAATGTCATTTAGCGAAAATCAAAACTATCGCGTGTTTCTTCGCAGGAAGGAAGCGGCCTTCGACGTGTGGCACCACTACTCTCTCATCTGCGGCGGATACCCTACCAAAGGTCGCAACCGCGCCATACTGGCCACCGGCGACATGTACAACGCGGCGACGGACCAGTGGAGTGAGCTGCCGGCGATGGCCAATGCGCGCTGCAGTTTCGCCGCCAAAGTCCTCAACGACTACCTGTACGTGACGGGCGGGGTAGGCGTGGGGTCAACCGCCCTCAGCAGCTGCGAGCGGTTGCAGTTGGGCGTGCCCGGCGCCCAGTGGCGATTCATGGCGAACCTGGCGAGGCCGCGCTACGGACACTGTTTGTTCGTCTTGCGCGACAAGCTGTACGTCTGCGGTGGATGCAGCCGCGACGGAGTGCCGCTGACCGGGATCGAGGTGTACGATCCGGCATTGAATCGATGGAGCAGTGTCCGTCCGCTGGAGGGACGCGGTGCCCGCGCCGCTCCGGTGTCGGCCTGTGCCACCTTCACCGTCAGCAATAAAACGCTGCGCTGATGGCGACGTTTTACGCTTGTTATTCACCTTACTGGTTTCTCACAAATCAGTGAATTGAATTACTGCATTTTCTCAGTTGTTATGTTTTTGTGGGAGTTTAGGCTTTAATTCGTAAAAATGCTGCCGTTTGCGTTCACTCTTCAAGCTTTAAATAGCGCGTGCTGTGTCAGCACATAGCGCGCAAAAGCGCTTTAGGCTAAGTGAGCGGAAAGCGCTCGTAAACATCCGTGTCAGCACACGGCTTTGCACATGAAAGGCTTGAGGCTAAACATTCTCGCACTGCGAGACTCGCAGTGTTGGCACTGCGGTGTAAGGCGCAATACAACATTGCAATAGAACGTGCAACTAAATACGTGCGTAATATTATTGCCTGGATATCTTGGCTATCCTGGTTATCCTATCCTGGGTATCCTGGCGTATGCGTACTTCACATTTTCGTAGGGTTTTAGTGTGTTTTGGGAAGTGGTTTTATCACCAAAATAACCTCAGGAAATGTCGGTATTGAGCAGAAAATAACTTTGAGTTGTTGTTTCCACAAATTGTCGAATAAACATTTGGTTGGTCAGCAGTGTAGCGATCAGGAAACCACCGGTAGATCCGGTAGGTTAAGTAGTTAAAATTTCAGCCTTTGGTTTCATTCACAAAATCCCGACGTTTCAACTTTCAGTGTAAATAACGAATAAAAATATTAACAAACGATAAATAAATGATCAAATCAGTAAAACCGACCGTAATAAGAAAGTATGTAGTTAGTACAGTACGATACAAGGCTCATCCGCCTCGAGTAGCATGCTTGAGTGTAGTTTCAGATTTCTTGCGTGCTGCATTGCGTCTGCCTGTCCGTGCAACTGGTGATGGCTCGCACCAGTTGTCGCGAACTTTCAGTTTTTATCTAGTTGGGAGTTGTTACTTGTCTTTGCCAGTTTTTGGAATAGTTCGGGTACAACACCATTTGCTACTATTTAGTTCTGCGCTGCTGTCTGCGCAGAATTACTTAGCTGATCCTGCTTGCGTTGTAGTTTTCTTGCTGTTTTCCGCACTCTGTTGTCGTTTCCAGCGTCATGAAGCAGAAACGTGCTAGACTGTCTGGCACCCTGTCATCAGCCTCTTCCCGAAATGCATCAATCTCCCGTGCCGTTGCGTTAGCAGCACCTGCAGCGCCTCCAGACTCTGGTGTTGATCCACGCGCACCTTCTCCAGAAATCGTAATGACTGGCGAGCCGGAAACCGCCGAGATCGCCCAGCCCGTGCCGTCTATATCGTCACGCATACGCTTGCTCGAGGACTCATCACACCCAGCGGACCGCAGAGCTGTCAACCGCCCAACGCATCCAAGTCCAGGTGCCTATAAGAAGCTCCCTGGGTCCCCGCCAGCCAAGAACCCAGTACCACGTTCCAGTCGATCTAGACTGCTAAAGCGTCAGCGGACCCCGTCCACATTCGCATCGCCTTCGTCGTCAGAAGATCGCCATGCGTGTCATGCAAAGAAAACACGTTCGAAGCAGAAGCCGCGCTCGTCGGCTAAGGCACGATTTGAGAAACGGATAAATGACCGAGGGAGGGTTTTCCATCGATGCCCATATTGCAACCGCGAGCTGGGCCGGCGCGATGCGTGTCGCAACCACGTGCTGGGAACGGATGGCTTCAGGAGACAGTCAGCGTGTTTCGATTGGCGAACGCAAGAGCGGGAACGCTATCTCCTGGGTGAGATGCCGCTGCGTCGGATGCGATGGGTGCGCTACGCAGATTACCGTAAGCAAAATGGGGAACCTGGGGACACTGAGTGGTCTTCGACGGACCGCCGGCACGGTGTCCACCTCCACCCAGATGACTATGCGGCAGCCGAAGAGGCGCGATCGCGACACAGGCAGACGCGGTCCGACGCTACGTTGGTGGGGTCTGCATTGGTAGTCCCGCTCTCTCCGAAGGGTCCCGCTCTGCCGCCTAGTGATCCGGACTTTTTGGGAGTTGATGGAGGATCCAGTAAGAATTGAGTGAACAGCCAAGGTGTGTTGCAGCGAGCAATAACCAGATTTGCAAAGTTTAGTTAGTTTGGGTTACATATCAAACTGAACGCGAGTTACAACGTTTGACATGACAACGCTACCCTGAGGAACTCAACTCTGAAATTCTCAACTCTATAGCCGACCTTGTTTTGCAGAATCACGTGCGAAGGTGGATACAGATGAGGACATGGATCGTGAATCAGTGGGTGACGAACACGACGATCCAGGTATGTTGGTTAATGAAGCTTCCTTACCGTAACGGTCACGGATGGTGCTTCATGCGCGCTTGCATTGAACAAGCTCCGATAAAGTCGATCTTGTGTTACGGTACTGCCAACCTAAAAACGCTTTGCTTTGCAGAGGCAGGCTTCTGCCAGGAGGTGAACGCAAACCAGGATGTCGATTCGGGTGGTGTTGAGGGCGGCGAACTCGGCGATGACGAACAGGAGAATTTAGGTGAGTTAGCCAGATGCCTTCAATCTGACAGCCGCTTTAAATTAGTTTTGTTTCTTCACATTCTTAGGAACGCCGCAACCAACAGGGTCCACGCTCACAGCCAGCCAAATCTCCATGCCGTCCAAGACCGTGATATCGCGAGCCACCTCACCGATGCCGGTGGCGGAGTGCACGACGGGCAGCTCACACCCACCAAATACCGATCAGAACGCGCTGCCGAATGATCACACCGTGGCCGACGCACAGCTGACCCTCGGCGCTCTGCTGGTCGTTTTGCGGCAGGATCTCCTTCCGGTCTCTTCCGAAATGGAGCTCTATCAGGTGAGGAAGCTATCGAGGCTTGACTTGTGAGCGCAGCCGCGCAAAAACGTAGCACTATGTAAATCACATTTTCAAGAAACCTAAGAAATTTAAGACAAACTAGAAAGAAAACCTGAGATTTTAAAAAAAACTGAGAACCAAAGAGACGTAAGAAATTGAAGTATTGTCCTGTCTTGCTTGGTCAGAAAGTGATGAAGTGGTTCCGCGTGGACTACCCGGCGCGATGGACGGCGGAGAATTTCAAAATCGTCCTACCGGAGCTCCGCTGGGATTTACTGGCTGACGAGCTGGAGCGGGCCCTCCTCACTGCCACTCCGCCGCTGCTGGATGTCTTGCTAGAGCTGCAGACACTCCTCTTCCCACCAGACGTTGACCGGGATACCGTTGCGCCACGGGAACGCTACTTCACCGAAGTGGCCTGTTTTTCTACGCCGACCGGCACACAGCCAGTCTGCGTCTGTACGACGCGCCAGAATAAACTGCACCACGTCGCACTGCCGGCGGAACTGCAGACGTGGAACACTTTCAAGGAAATGGGCCCGGTGGTCAACAACCGGGTGTGGTTCCGCATCGAGCACGGTGCGCATTGGCGCATGTACGTCTTGACGTTGAAGGATGATCCGACGAAAGTGGAGATGGAGTATATATGCGAGGAACCTGTGAAGGGCGCGAGCGATCCGCTGGTCATCCTCAACGGCCGTTTGTACGGCTGGAACATCGTCGGATCGGGGAACACCGTCGCCTACGCGTTCGATCCCGACACACGCCAGTTCCACTACAACATCCCAAATCCTCACTGCATTAGGTTAGTAAGTTTTGGCAATGCTGTATACAAAAAATTCGGCTAGTTAATCTACAAAAAAGACGCATGACCGAAATGCTCGTTCCACAGAAAAGAAGCGGCATTCGACGTGTGGGACAAGCAGTACTTTATCATCCTGGGCGGATATCTGGCGGAGGACCAGACGCCCAGCATCCTGGCCGCCGGCGAAGTGTACGACGCGGCGACGAACCAGTGGAGCGAGCTGCCGGCGATGCTGCATCCCCGCTGCAGTTTTGCCGCTAAAGTCTTCAACGGCTACCTGTACGTCACGGGCGGTGTGGGCCCGGGATCGACCGTGCTCAGCAGCTGCGAGCGGCTGCAGTTGGCCGTGGCCGGCGCCCAGTGGGAAACGCCTCCCGAACTGACCGCCCCGCGCTACGGGCACTGTATGTTCGTCGTGAACGACAGGCTGTACGTGTGCGGTGGGTGCAACCGCGACGGCCTGCATCTGACTGGCATGGAGGTGTACGATGCCGCGTTGAACCGGTGGAATAGTTTACCCCCGACCCTGGGCCCCGGGGCTCGCTCCTCCCCGGTGTCTGCGTGTGTGACGCTGACCGTCAACCACAAAGTGCTACGTTGATGCCGGTAGTATGCTACTTGGTTTTGTTGCTCTCGCATCGTTTCCCACCGATCACTGGGTGGCTTGTACAGGACGAGACTGCCGTTGAATTGTTCCGTTTGGTGTTAGTCGCACTGGCTGTCCTCGATGATCTTGATGATGAATAATTTATGTTAGTATTTATGAGTAATGCAGCAGATGATTTGTAAGCGATATTATTATATGTGGCGGAATGGGAATAAGTACTAGGACTATTATAAATTGTAAAGCTGGCGGGATTGAGTGACTTAGGGTTCTCATGTTTGTTTGAGTTACTGAGTATTCGAAGATCGCAGTACGTTAGAAAAATGAATAAATTATATGAGCGGTGTGCATTGAGCGTTTGAGCAAAGGGTATTTAAGCAAAGGGTATTTATAGACTGTCAATGAGGATCTACGGGCACTTTCGGATATCAGTCTGTTTCAGGAAAATAAAGTACTCGTGTTGAGACGGTGAGTCGCGTGACGCGCTGCTTGGCTACATGGGCATGTGAGCGGTAGATGTACTTCGTACACCTGTGCGGTTGCGGCTGCGTCACGGATTCCTGTCTGTGCTGTCTCTCGCTGGCCATTGTTCTCGGCTTTAGAGCCGTCTCTCTCCGCAGTCAGTCGCCACGTGGCGAATGCGGATGTGAATGCGGATATGAGCGCAGTCCGCCAGTCTCGAATTTTCATGCATCGTCAGTGTTGTTTTGGCGAGCCAGAGTGCACTCATTAAAAGTTAGCAATTAGCTACGCGGCGTCGCGTGTTATTTTCGCTGTTCGCAATACAGGTAGCATTGCTCACTACGCGGAATCAGTTCTGTTCTGGTTGCCGTATGTAGATCAACTGGATCTACCATCATAGGCAGTTATAAACTGTTAAGCATATTGTGAAAATACAGACAAATTTAATCTGCTTTCAAAGTGCAAACACCATCTTGCTGCTTGGCAAGTTGGCATAGCCATAAACCAATCCACTGCCCTGACCGCGCCCGTTTCAACTTGCCTATGCCCGATCAATCCTAGCTAAACTTTTGTAAATTGTAAGTGCTGTACTGCAGTCGACACTCGACATATCCACCGTTTGCTTCTCGATTTGCACCCGCAGATACCAACGCGGTATCTAGCTTCAGCAGACAGCAATCATATGAACTTTGAACGCTCTTTCAAGATTTTCCTCAACGGCTGCCTGTCGCCTGTGAGTTCACTGACTGCAGGGATAAGAAGCATTCTTATCGCTGCACAACCAGTCGCTCAATAAAGCAACTGGAGAAGAGTCAAGACGGTAGAGAGATTCTTTATGCCCATCCTGGAAAGTTAGATGATCATGTGAGCTGTAAAACAGTAGCGTTCCGCTGCTGTCACCTGATTGTTATTGTATCGGACGGTGGCGGAGTGTGTAAATTGAAGTTGCTTGGGAACTGCGGTGGTCATGGAGCCCCTCTCGATTGCGGAGATCGCTGGGAAACGGAAAGCTGGAGACGCTGGTGACACTCCAGCCAAGAGTGTCTGCATCAAGCCCGATCCAGGTAGTGGCATTAGCGCGAGCGTCAGCGGCCAGGAACTCGCGCAGCGTGCGCCCCCGCAGTTGGTAGCCGTGTTGACGGGGACGTTTGTGCTGTACAGTCCGCGGACGAAGGTGGAGGCCTTAGCGTTGCCGTGTCACCGTCAGGTCCACGAGTGTCGCGTTCTCCTGCCGCGGCACATCGATCCCTGGGCGGCGCACCTCGTCCTGCTGGCCACCCTCCATCCCCGTCTGCCGCTGGATGCCAGCGTCCAGGACAAGGGTGTTGGCAGCACCGCTAGCCAGCTACAGGCCGCGGCGGCCTTCTTCAAAATCCCCTTGCCTGTCACATTGCAGGAGCAGGATAGAGCCGACAGTAAGCTGCACTGTTTTACCATGTGCTGTTATAGTTTATTATTGGTTCTTAACAGTCTGGGATGTGGGTTGTATTTCAAGCAGAGTTTTTCTTAGTTACGCATCCGTAATGTACGAGCGTTTCACACTCTACACAACTTTTATTCGTTCTTAATTAATCGAAAAAAGTGTGTTTTGAATTGCTGCATTGCGTAAAGTCATAGGCAAATTCAACTCGAACTCAAGGCGGTGGTGACACCGAGAACCCAGCAACCCCAAACCATAAGATATCGAAATAACTGGCTGCAAAAACTGCTGGAAATTTAGTAGAATTTAGAAGTAATAAAATGGTTGATTTTTTGTGATGTAAGGAGTCTGATGAATTTTCGCGATACGTCAGCGAACCGTTTCTCTTTGGGGAAACTGCAGAAAATTCCATTGAAAATATTTAAATTAACAAGCATTTCTTGCTCCAAAAGCTTATAGCTTCTGGCCCTTAGCGTCTGCCAAGGGGCAGAAGCAATGCTATACCAGGTATGAGACAAAAACGCCAATTTTATTGCGGAAACTGCTAGATATTTGGTACCTGTGTAGAAGCGCCAAAAGAAACCGTGACCAAGGCGTGTCAGACCGTCCAGCTGGCAATCAAGACCATACAGACACCGGCACAATCGCACGGTAGGGCTCTTTTTCCATTTATTTTACATGGAAACGGAAGTCCCTTATGGAAATCTTACGCTGAACATGTTACGGGATGTACGAGTATAGGAGCTGCCCAGCCGACGGCCAACGCGCCGTCTCCACCCGACTCGGTCAGCAAAGCGCCCAGAAACCCCGGCCGAAGCAGGTCGCCACTCGCCGATCCTGCTATGGCTTACGCGCATTTGTCCTTAGTGGAAGTGCTGGCGTTGATCCGGCAAGATTTCCTGCCGGTCACCTCGGAAATGGAGGTGTATCAGGTTAGCGCTTGCGAGAAAAAAAGACCACTGCAGTACAACTTTACACTACTTCATCGTACAATTATCTTAGGTTTAAACAGTCCTATAATGTATCTTGATCGCACCATCTTAATTTTAAACATTGAAAAAATCCTATCTTGTTAGTGTCATTGATCTGAAAACATGCATTACATGTACCCTAAACAGCCGTTGGTTTGTCGATTTTATTGTGCAGTTTTTCAACCGCGGACTGGCTGTCCGATTTCAGTGTTTTGTTTTGACTCCATTACAGAGAGTAATGAACTGGTGCCACGTTCACTACCCAGCGCGCTGGACGGCGGAGAACTTCCACGCTGTAGCACCGGAGATCCGCTGGGATCTGCTGCCTGATGTTCTGCCTGTGGCCATCCTCACCGCCGCCGGACCACTGCGCGACGTCCTCCTGGAGCTCCAGGCGCACCTCTTCCCGCCGGGCCTCGCCTGTCTGACCGCCGCGCCACGGGAACGCCACTTTACCGAGGTGGCCTGCCTGTTCTTCACCGACCGTCATACCGCTAGCCTGCGTCTGTACGACGCCCGTCATAACAAACTGTACCCCGTCAAACTGCCGATGGAGCTGCAGACGTGGAACAGGTGGAAGGAGATGGGCCCGGTGGTCAACAACCGGGTGTGGTTCCGCATCGAGCACGGCACGCAGCTCCGAACGTATGCCTGGAGTACTGGCGGTGATGGTGGCGAAAATGCGACAATGGAGTTTATCGGTGAGGAGCCGCTGGCGGGTGCGGTCTCGCCGCTGGTCAGTCTCGACGGTCTGGTGTACGGCTGGACCACCAGCGCCATGAATAACACGAGCTACTCGCTGAATCCCGAATCCCCGCTCTTCCGCCATAGTATCCGCAATCCCAGACGCATTAGGTGGGTGACGTGATACTACGGCGTTCTAACAAAAAAATGTATAATAATCCGTCTGGCTCCGCCATACACTGCAGTTATTATTATTATTATTATTACATCAAGAGCAGACAACCCGCTAAACGGGACTTCAACGTCTGGTCGGCACAAGGCTAAACACAGAAGAAAACAATTTCTAAGAGAGATCAACAGTTCGGAGAGCAAATTTGAAAAAACCCACACCATCAACACTGAGTAACTGCATGTTAACTTTTTGTATTTCGCTCAAAGATGTTCTTTAGTCGCATGGCCAACGTGCCTTCTCCGATCTTCTTCTTCGCATTGGCAGCAATTCTCGTCGGGTTCCGCAGGTTGTACCGCATTCCCAGGTCCGTGAAGTCGATCATCTACTAATACGGAATAAGCTACTGCAGAATAAGCCTCCGCGATCCGATTAGTAGTTGCTTATCGTGACTCGCAATAGTAAATGCTTTCGTTTTCATACAACCTAATCACACCCGGTTACACAGAAACGATTGAGAAATTTCCGTAATTTTCTCGATTGGAAAAATCCCGCATAGGTTATCGATTATTCTGGTATAATTGTGGATACCAGTTACTACAACATAACGGCTGATTGTGCTTCAAACTTAATGAGCGATGGTGCTATGAAACTATTTATTTCGATTTGTTAAAAAATTTTAACACCCGGTGCCCAATATATCAAAACGTATAAGTACTTGAAATAATCGAATTATGCGAGTAAATCTAAATAAGAGGGGATGTCAGTAGCGCACCTAGATAATCCCCTGTATTGCTGACGTCACCCGCCTGGAGTGTGACGTCACGGCAGTGCATATTGCTAAATCTGACGCGGTACATACGCACCATGTATAGCAGATTATCTGGTGCGCTACTGACATTTCCTCGTATGTCATACCTATGTACGGCTAATGCACTGCACTTGTGGAACAGTCATCCGCTTTTTTAACAGAAAAGACGCGGCATTCGACGTGTGGAACCGGTATTTCTATCTGTGCGGTGGGTATCCCGTGAAGGGCCGCAACCGCGACATCCTGGCCACCGTCGAAGCGTACGACGCCGCCACTGACCAGTGGCGACATCTACCGGTGATGTCGCAGTCACGCTGCAGCTTCGCCGCCAAAGTCCTCAACGGCTACCTGTACGTGACGGGCGGCGTGGGAGACCTCCCGGCAGCAGGAGCGAGGGTTCTCGGCAGCTGCGAGCGGCTGCAGTTGGGCGTGGCCGGCGCCCAGTGGCAGTCGGTGGCTGGCCTAGGATTTCCGCGCTACGGACACTGTATGTTCGTCTTGCATGGCAAGCTGTATGTCTGCGGAGGGTGCAACCGCGACGGGATGCCGCTGACCGCGATGGAGGAGTACGATGCGGCGGTGAATCTATGGAGTGCTATGCTACCGGCCGAGCGACCCGGGGTGCGGTATGCCCCGGTGTCGGCTTGCGTGACGCTCACTGTTTCCTTTAAAATGTTGCGTTAATGAAGGACATTTTACGCTTTTTATTGTTTCTGTTATTTTTGATTAGTGCATTGCTCTGTTTTATTTTATGAAATTCGTTGTGCACCTGTTTTTGCAGTACATTGTCTAGATAGTTTCGCGCAGTTGGACAGTGGGAATATTTGAGTGTGTATGTCCCAAAATGATGCACTGTACTAATTCACTTTAAAACTTACACAACCAATGTTATTTTCAATGAAAACTTATGGGACCAATACGGAAGGAATGCATCGAGGAATTGTGTTTGATAAATTTACTGTGCATGGAGAAAACAAAGATTTGCGAAGAGTTGGGTTGTCGTTCTGTTGGTGATTACCTGTCTTTACTTAAACGGTTAAACCTAAACGTACGAGTCGCCTTAATAGAGCGTAGCGACGAGTATATTGATTGACCTTTAGAGGACGTTTTCCGTGCAGGATGCATGTGATATTCCTTAGGACTATTCAGCATTCACCCGGGCATCGCTGTGGCACAATAAAGATTTGTGCCAAGACGTGGCAGTAATTTTGGTTGTTTGATTTTGTTAATGTTGTTGTTCAAATATTCTTTTGGCTATGCCATGAATGTGCAACTGTACATCTATCTATACGGACATAATGAGCAAACCTTTTCGATTTTTTCCTTAACAGATTTCAAATGATGAACCACACAAATCTAACAGGTTTACGCTGGTAAATCACGGAAATTAGCAGGATGATTTAGGATCTTAGCAGCGCCAAACTGCCGTTTCTGCGGATGCGGTCCTCTTTCGCAGTTCAACTACAAAACACCCGACGAACTCACACATCGCACACCACAGTTCATCAGACAACACTGCACTGGTCGGGCGGTACATCGCTTTCGCATTCCCGTAGTCCCGGTACGCACGGGATGACAGAGCGTGCAGACAAATGTTGTTCTGCTTGCTGACGTCCAAATTAACCAGTTCGGCGCTGGTCCACTGGACACCTCGGTAATGTGAAGAGGGACTCGGATCGCAACTCTGATACTGGTGTAGAATCTACACAGATGGTTCCAGAAATAATTGTAAATTTGTGACACGCACAGCACAGACCGTTCAAGGTCAGTGCGGTACTTGCGATACCTGAGTAAGACCGTCGTAGAAGTTCCTTGAAGTGGCTCTAATCTATTCCGATACCAGCTTTAAAATTACCGGATTTTCGTCATTAAGATTATCTTTGAATATGTTCCAGGCCTGAGTGGAATCGATGGAGTCCAAATGGAAGTCTTGCAACGGGAACCAGAATTCCACGGTTGGACAGATATCATGCTTGTCTTTCAACCGTAGAATCGAGCATCAACAGTAGAATCGAGCATTTGCGGATAGTTATGCCATCGTTTCCCGTTATCCCATTAGATGTACTCCGATGTTATGGCCCGTTTGGCCCGGCTGATGTGCTTGCAGATGCAGCTGTACACCGCGTAATCATGGCACCAGAACTGGTCAGCGCGCTGTAGCTCAGCACTCCGCTCTCCCAAACTGCAACGTATATCGATGCACACTCGCGGGCAACTGATGATATCTGCCCACAAGGTACAGACACGGCGACAGCGCGTTCGGTTTATGGTGTCCAGAGACAGGAAAACTTCCTCCAGCAGCACACTCGGCAACGGTAGACCGATTGCCAGGGCGTGGTCCTTCGATGTGGTCGTGTGCAGCCCGTCGAGCGCCGCATTCTCGGTGATACTACTGATGAGCATCTGTCCCAGCAAAACATATCGACTTTTGTTGAGCAGGTTCAAGTTTATCCCGTATTTCCATCAAAAAGTTACAGATAGCGCGAAAGCTGCGCTAAGAACGAGTGTCATTACACCATGTCCACCACAATGACAAGTTCACCTGAAACAGCAACAGCTTGTACGGCTTGCCGGCTTCTTAAAGTTCTAGTGTGAGCAAAAGCACGACCGAGGAGAAGTTTGAAATTTCTCCTGGATCGGGCTTTTGCTCACACTAGAACTGTAATTCTCAAACGTCTCAAATTTCAAATTTGAGAAGGTCACTCTACATCACGATATAAATTTTTTAGCTGATTTGTTTACAAAATTTGTTTACAACCTTACGTTGTTTTGTGTTTCGACCGTAAACAAAATAAATTTTAACCGAACCGCCCCAGTGACCGGTCAGCAGAACGGTTTGCAGTGCTTACACCGCTTACCGTTCCCATGTTGCCCAAGCGGTTAACGAACACGCCGCTCTGCAGCAGCTACCGCACCTCGTCTTTGAACTGGTGGAGTGTAAGCACAGATACCTCAAACCCCAGGTCATCTGGGTGAAAAAGTGACCACGCATAAGCTGATTGCGCTGACGCTCCTCAGGCTGTGGAAGCAGCCGAATCTGTGCGACGGGCAGTAATTCCTGGACCTAATACCCCGCCAGCACCGCCTCAACCACTGCGTGAGAATGCCCCAGTAGCTCGGGGCATGCGATGACGGTAGCGGGATACCATTTTCAGGGATGATTGGGATGCTCGCGCAGCAGCACCTCCACGGCCGGTGCGGGTTGTTGTGCGCCACCACTTGCGCGGATACTTGATCTCTTCCACTTGACCCGAGACCTTGCCGTATTCCATCAGCACCGGATGCTTTTTTTTTGTCAGTCACCATCAGTTGCCAGTGTTGAAACTGAAAATACAGCGCGATTAATTGGAAAATTGCCGAGAATTCTTTGTAAAACTGAAAACTTTGAAAAAGATTGCGTCATTACATGATGCCCGGGAAAGACCTGGGTGGGAACAAAAAATAATCGCAGAGAACTGTTGACAGTAAAACATGTTAAAAGGGGTACCAGTACGGCAGTACCTATTTCCTATAATATGATCCTGCTACGCTTTGGTCATGCAGTGCCCGCAAAAAGCCATTGCACTTTCCTCGTATATGTATAACGTTCTGTGTTGCAAAATTAGAGACATTTTTAGTTGTATTTAGCTTTGTTTGACAAATTCTCAATCCGGCTGAAACGTGGAGCGACATAATCCTCGTTTCGCAAGAATTGATGCTTGCCTCCAGTTTTCCTTCAGGGGCCAAAACAAGGCTCTTTCTGGAACTTAGAATACTTTTCAACCGACCACAGGGCAATATTTCGGGCATCAACTGCAATTGTTAACGAAAGATCTTGGCCGATAGTGCACTTGCAAACAAGCGTTCCCAGTCGAAGGTACATCAATCGCTCAATCAAGATACGGAATCGGTTATTCAGTTACTCACGTACAGCGCTGATCAGTGTAGTTTTACGTGGTGAAAAACAGCGCGGCAGTAACTGCATTTAAATAGGGTGTGCTTTTCACATTTTCCCCAATTCCCGCGTAGTTTAAAAGTTTGTTTGTCCATAAAATGGGAAGACATTTTTATGTCTCAATATAGACTATTCATGGTGATGCAGTAGACATGCTGTTTTCCTAAGCCTCCTGTGTCCACTGACCAAACCACACAGTCTACGCTGTACAACACATGTTCTCGCCGATTGATCGGTGTGTCTTCGCAAGGGATTCTTCAATGGCACTGCCCTTGCCCTGTTAATCAAGGTTCCGCCGGTGTGTAACCACCGGTTGATCACTGATTAGCTGGTTAAGAACAGGCCACACTCATCCCAAACAGCGGCTCACTGTCGTGCCCTCAAAACCGTGTTTTCCCGTCGGTTGTAACACAGTAAGAATAAGGATAAAGCCTCGACTCTATTCAGGCTTTTGAGCTGGGCCGTCACGTGATCATAGATGAGACGCTTACAGCATTGAGCTTACCGGCCGACCGTTGCAACGGTTGCCAGTGGCTGCCATAGACTTGTATGTTAAATTCAAACCATCTTATAAGATTCATTCTGCATCCGTTGCCAAAAACGTTATCATCAGAAAGCATAGAATTTTTTTATCTTTCTTTTGAGCTATCGCGCAACCGTGTCCGATCGAAACAAGCAGAATTATTTTATTTGGTACCGTAACTGTTTTAACATACAGTGGACGTCAAAATTGTCTTACATCTTTTTTAATTACAAAACGCGCGCAACCAGGCACTTTTCTGTACTCAAACTACCCAATTTGGGACTGGCCATCGTCCTGCTCACATTTACACTTGCACCTTTCGCATTTCCCAACAAAAAATATCGACCGATACCTCAAACGAATGAGGAAGAAATTTCAAGCATTTTGATACCAAAGAAGTTTCTTTTATGAGACGTAAAAGAAAATCGACGCATCTAAAGTTTCTCATAGACTTAGCATACGATCTGAATCCACGGCTTGGTTTCAGTTTTCACACGGAAATCGTATACATACTGTGTCTACGACAAGTCAAAATGGCTTGATTTTCTCTCAGACCTCATACAGAATTACCTATTTAGTATCGAATTCTTTTCTCTTTCTTTTGAGATACTGCTTGATGGTTTTCGTTGGAAAATGCGCAAGGTGCAAGCGTTTAAATTCATGCGCGTTTCCTGTTTACTGGTCATTCGGTCCCGGACCGAATGTAAGACAATTTTGGCGTCCATTGGAATAGTGTACACTGTACAATACATAACGGCGTCTCATCTACCGCCACGCGACTTTTTTAGCTCTCAGGCCTGTATAGAGTCGGTCCTGATAAAGCGTATAAGAGCCAATAGATTTTGAAATGTTTTGGGTTTTGTCTGGTTTCGGTTTTACATTAATTTCTTTATGGGAACAAAATGCACTTAATGCAGAGGTTACAAGGTGGTCGGTGAATGCTTCCGCTTTTCTTTTCAAACATCAAACCGATCCTCACTCAAGTCTTGACCGCTTCTTCCATGGGCCAAAAATGCAATGTTCATGCACATTGACCGCAATTTAATTTTAACGACAGATCTTAACCGATAGGGCGCCCGGAAACAAACAAGTACCGTAGTATGCACAGTTAACGCACCATCGCGTCCGTCGATCTGTTATCTTATGCTTATGATCAGTAATGTAAGTTGTGAAGTAAAACAGCGTTTGTTGTATTTATAGACAGCGCGCCTCTTAGACTCACATGCAGTTTGACTAACGCCTCTTAGACTCGCATGCAGTTTCACTAACGACCTCCTTCAAGAACGACCTCCTTCAAGATGCGCTCGCTCCACAGTCTGTGCTGCAGAGTTTCTCATGAAGTGGTTGATGTTGCTCACGGAATGTTTTCTCCAGTCACGCTTTAACGGCACTAACCTTATTTTGCACATGTTTGGTTTGCCGGTGTGCACACATCCGGCTGATCATTAATGTGCTTGATAAGGACAGGCTGTGCATTCCAGGTGGCCGGGAAGGCTGGTTGCTGGG